ATTATATATATATATATATACTTATATATATATATATTATATATATTTAATATATATATATATAATTTATATATATTCAATATATATATTGAATATATATAATCGTCACTCCCTACGTATAATCCCGTAACGCCAAAACGCAAATTTTAGAGGAGAGCAGTTTAAAAGTTTGAAGCTTCATATAGTTTCCCTAGTTAAGTGATCTTTTGGTTTTAAATTTTTACCTTACTTATGAATATTTTTGTTTAATACTTGGTGACCACAAAGAACATGACTTTCTGAGTGTCACTATGCAATAAACTGAAAATCCCATATGTGACACTTATGTAATTATACGTAGGGAGTGACGATATTATATATATTCAATATTTCCGATCAAACAATGCGATATTTAATATCAAATAAAATTATCGATGTCTTTTTGATATTATCAATAACAGAATATCGATATACTAAAATATCAAATATCAAAAAAATTATATCCATATTGTCGATATATCGATATCATATGCTCATCCCTACTTGTAAGTCTAATTCTAATTTTACTGCACTATATGGTTTTTATTCTTTCTAAAGGCATAAACTCGAATTTTGTGAGATGTGTTTAATAGATAATGTGTGAAAAATATTATAATAGTAAAAATAGACACCTAAATTCAATTTTATTTGTTTAATAGGATATAATTTAGATAAAAAAGAAAAAGAAAAATTACCTTTAATTAATATGATGTCGTGGCATGAAGACATGGAGATATCAGAAGAAACCGGTACCGGCACTCACTTGTAAACAGTGCGTCAGGAATTCGAAGAGTATGCGCGGGATCAGTATATATATACCGATCATATATATATATACAGAGTGTCCGACAATTACTTTGAAATCTCTCGTAGGCAGGTAGAAGGAGTAAAACTGAGTCGAAAAGTTCTAAACCATTTTTTTCTATTACATATAATAAAGGAGTAATTATTGAATAAATCAAGCCAATCAGCGCCGATCTTTAGCGCACGTCAGTGAACTGTGCGCCTGTGCGTGAGCGCTCCGCGCGCACAAAAATAGTTTTGTGTAACCATAAGCAAATTAATTTGATTTTATTTATAAACTCAAAAATTAATTTTTAGATATCTATATATCTGTATTCATATATCTATATATATTAATATATATCTATAAATTGCACATTTAAATGTTGCAAAATCACACTTATGTATAACTGAAATGAACAAAAATATAAATACTGACTTTATAACATGTATTGTATGGGCAATTTCGAATCGGTTTTTATTCAATATTTGGAGGCAGCTAATGTTAGTTTTCTGATCAGTATTAGGATTCTTAATATGACGAGTTTGTTAGTATTACTAGTCTGCGAACTTTTGTAGTATTATTTATTCTTGCGTTACGTTTGTTGTGTATGCTCAAAGGATTGATTATGCATTGTAGTGAAAGTAAAAAAGTAAGCGAATTTACCAAACTATCTATGATTTTATTGTCAACAACTAGTAAATTTGCTTACTTTTGTAATTTTCGCAATATTGCATAGATACACAATTGACCTCTAAAATTATTCAAGAAGACGTGAGCGCGCGCAAAACGGATAAAAAACTACGAGAAAAGATTATTAGATCATGTAGTGGACCGATGTTAGACAGTCGCTTGTCATGCTCGAGCAATCGTCGGTGAATACGCCGCTATGAAAACACGCTCGAATAGATTATTTTACTCCGGCAATAATAAATAATTTCAACAAGTTTAGTAGAGCGAAGTATGCTCTCGCTTTTACGAAAGCGAAATATGCGCTCGCTGCTTGTTGGATCTATAGTGGGATTTGGAGAAACCGTTATACATACTTTATAGTTCCTGATTAAAAGTAATTAAATTATTCAATGCAAATGATGAGAAGAATGTGATAAAAATTACGATGCAACTACTGGAATTGCGGTAAGTTTTGAGCCACTAGTATTAATAATTATTCTATATTGATTCCCAAACAAACATTTCATTATATCTTCATTAAACGTTGGCTATCTAGACAATTGTCGAACGCGATGTTTGTGTGTGTCCTCAGGTTATTCGTAACGTGGAGTAGTAACAATATATACAATATATGAATGGTGCTTCTAAGCTCAATCGCCTGCAAAAAATGCAAATGGTTCTATCTCATTCTTTTGTTGTTTTCCTTTTTATTTTGTATCCCTTTGTTAATCTTTTAACTTGCTTATCAAAAGATATTTGCTTATAGAAATATATAAAAACAATCATTGTAATATGCAATTAGAAAAATAAAAGTTTACAATATGTAGTTTATAATATAATGTTACACACACACACACACACACACACACACACACACACACACACACACACATATGTATCATCCGTACATATCAACTAATTTAATACTTATTTAAGAAAGAGAGAGAAAAAGAAGAAAAAGAACAAGAGTAATATTTTTTCTTACGGCTATTGCGAATCAGGGCTCGTCGTGACGCTGAATTATTGATTCTGAAGTTTAATGCACTCGATGTTTTTTCAGCTTATCGTTTTTGCATGCACTTCTAGCTGAGCTGACGGTCGACCGAACACTAAGCCGATTATATCTACTCACCTAGCTAGCGGCAGACAAAAAGACCTGTTTCTTTCTGGTTTTGCGTGATCATTTGATTTTTCAATTTATTTGCATGTGTCTTATTTTTTTATATGGCGTCATGTTTCCATACTTGTATGCATAATGCTTTTAACTGATGTTCTATTTGTGAGCTTTTCCATCGTTTTAATACTATTCTTAGTATATTCAAAACAATTTTTCTTCAGCATTTTGATTCATAGAAAGTTTTTGTTATTCTAATGTAAAATATTATATACTACAAACTGTTATAAATATAAACCTATAATTATGCTTTAATACTTGTATACATTGTCAATTCTATTGCTTTTAAATTTATATAATTTATGTAACTTTCTAAAGTGGCTCAGCAAAAGCCAAAACTACTATGTCTATCTTTTTTACAACACTAATTTGTAAAACGAATACACTTATATAAGACACGACACGAAACTAGTTCTGCCATACTATTTATCTGCATAGTTTTAGTTCAATAAAAAAGTTTTCACATCGTGTGCTACCAAACCGGAAAGCGAGTTTTACTTTACATTACACAGCAAAAATAAAACCATTGCACGTTTACGTTGCAATTTCATCTAAAATGTCTTGAGAACTCTGAAAGAGACATACAATGAAAATTGATTTTTTTGCAAATGCAGTGATTTTAGACACCACAGCTTCATCACTTGTATTTCTGTACGTTGTATTGATTGATCGCGTCTTGATGCTCCCAGCCGCTATGCGTCGTCAGGCACCAAGTGTTCTCTCGAAAGCGACTTTTTCTGCAAAGGTGATAAAAGGGCCTCGCGTCTGTTGTGCGGCATCGCTTCTCGACCTCATTGGCTAAGATCAAAATGTAGTGCTGCTATATACGTAGAGCACGTCTCCGGGGTGCGGCAGTACGCGGCGGCTGCTCGGTCTCCCGGCGGAACGCTCCGAGACAACACGCGAGCGATTCGCCGACGCTACGGGGAACCGGAGATGGTTTTTATTTCTTCTGACTTCTTTAAAGTTTTATGCGGACCCCCGAGTGTGAGTGTCGCGAATTATTATATTGTATTTTATCCGAGTGTGAATGTCGCGTCTTATTATTTTTGTATTTTAGTCGAGTGTATGTGTCGCGTGTATTTATTTATTTATTCATATACTTTTAATTTTATGCATGCTGGATCTGATATATGGCATGCAACAGAGTAGTCCCATATAATGGAGAAAATATTGATTTAGCCGCGCCGCAGCTCACAGGCCCTTGTATTTGATATTGGCACTGCGTTATGGCCTGGGAGCCTATACATATGTATAACAATAATTACTGCGCGCATATTGTGAGTATCGTCCCAGCTGGCTAGCTGGAGCGATATTTTTATCACAATCACCCTAGCCGTGACGAGGGAGTGCATCTTACCCCTCACTGGAGAAGGTAAGTATGTGCCCCCTCTCACGTAGTTCTTTGCGCCTCCTAGCCGGGGTGGGTCTTGTCCCCGGCCAATTTTTATTTAATTTTTTTTGCGCGCGAGCGTGGGCGGCAACGTTCGTCCCTACACTTTTTTGTTGTTGTATTCTACCCCGGGGGAGCTTGTCCCTCCGGGGAACATTAATTGATTAAAATAAACGTGTTACTCTGTTCTTATCAGCTTAATATCTGATACAGACCGCAAAGCGGTCTCAGAATATTAAACTGATTTTTGGAACTGGGCGGACACCCGGAGCTTGCTCCGGCTCCGTCACGAGTCATCCCGGTAGTGCAGTGTCACCGGGCTTGGCCCAGCCTTTATGTAATATAAAAACAGTTCCAAAAATCAGTTTAGAAAAGTATTTTAGTAGCCAGTGAGGCCTACCGGGCCGAAAAGTCGAAAAATCGCGAAAATGCTATTTCGCGACTGCGTGCGATTTTGGAGGTTACCGGCCGTCCAGGGAGCCCGGGGAAAGCGATTCCGAGGTCTTCCAAGGTGTCCAAGGAGAGGAAGACAAGTATTTTTGTAAGTTTATTTTATTTATTAAGGCTCCAGGAGTTAGGCGTGGTCGGCTCCGAGCGAAAATTTCGAATTTAACGGTTGAGTGAGTGTAGCAGCTGGCAGGTTACGTGGCGTACTTTCTATTTATTTCTATTTATTTTATTGTGTGTGAGTGCGTCGCGTCTTGTGTTATTTATTATACTTATTTATTTTTTTTTCTCTTTATTCTTTTTTTATTTTATTTCGCGTGTCTGTTGTGTGTCCCTGTCAGCTGCATACAAATAGCTGCAAGTCATTTGTTTGTTTTGTGACAGGCTGCCAGTCCGTAACGGACTTTATTTGAAAAATAAAAGTTTAAAGAATTACCTACCTTCCCTTTGTAACATCCTTGCTGTCCAGGAATTGGATATTCGCCGCTGTTGCTGCTCGAGGAACGGGAGCGAGATTTTAGGTTAGGAGTGACTATAAGTCACATTTTATACATCTATAAGTCACATTTTATTTTTATAAAGCTCTACTCTCTCTTCTACATACATATACACATATATACAGGCGACTTTTTATTCATTGACTACACATTTTACACATAACACGCTTTTTTCTCTCCTGTAGGGTATATCTTAAGTACATATACCATCCTTGTACCTGTAAAAAGAGAGGAAATAAACGTTTTATCTGTGACATTATATTTATCTATTTATTTTAATTTTTAAATACCTGATCTTATTATTATTATATTTTATTAACGCGCACCACATCAGCAGCCACATACGTCCTGCAGCATTTCCTGACAGCTCCCGAGAAGGTAAGTCACACTCCTGTCCTCTGCAGCTTCTATATATTGCACTTGCTCTACCTGTAACAAATAAAAAGGGACACATCAATTATACATCTACATATATACACACACATACAGTGCCTGTCATAGGTGCATGCCAGTCTTTTTGCAATTTTCAATAATAAATCTTTGGATCCCACACTTGTTTTGTTTTTAACTGAGTTTTGTAGCTTTCAAATATTCTATTTGTGTTATATTTTACTTATCATACATTCAACATCTTAATTTTTATCTGTGCTCTGTCATAACCTCTTTTAATAAACTGAGTCTCATCTGCTACTTTTTAATATATTGAACTATACACCTAGATATTTATTTTTTATATCTAGTGACGCTATTTGAGCAGCTACATACATCTGCTACTCACTTTAATATCCAGCTCATAGTCCTGTGACAGCTGTACACGGTTTTTATTTGGTCTTGTGTACCTGCAAAGAAAAATTTTATATATTAGTACTATCATTACTGCAGGAATAACATCGTGCACATTTAGTATAACCATCTGATATATAATTTTTAACTTTAAACTTTTTGCTTGTTTTAATATAGTCAAAAAGACCTGTTGCAGTGACAGCCTACGCACTCACTGTGGTCTGCTGTATCTGCAACATAATAAATACCTATTAATACATTTTTATTACTTTGACTGTATTACATCTTACTTAATTTATTTAGTTATTACAAGTTTTAATTAATATATTGACCACCACCTTTTTAGCTACATAACATCTTTATACTGTGACAGTCCAAAGTCCCTGGCAGATAACACCTCCTGAAACATAATAATGAACATTAAATTACAGTAAACATATTCATTTTCATCTATATTACTTACTTGTTACTGATTTTACCGGTTAAAACCATTACTTATCTTGCTTTACTGGTGGTGGACAGAGCATGCTGAAGTGACAGCTGCAAAACTCACTACCTGAAAAAGACATAAATACATTTAAAATAACAAAACTTTTTGTATAAACAAGTACAATTTCATACAGGGATCCAAGAAATATATAAATTATACTTACTTTCTTGTTATTTCTGTCTGTCAGCACACCACACCTTCATCTGTCATCAGCACATAACCTGTATACATAAGAGGAACATATTAGTTGATCATTTGCTTTTGGTGCATTGATACCGCACACATTACTATAAATCAAGATCGCACGTGTCTCCTGCTCCTGATTATACACAATTTATACAATTTTTACAACATCTTATCTGAAATATCTCCAAAAAGATTGGTGCTGGTAACACTTGTGTGCTGACACATCTGGCAGGCACCTCCGAGTTATTGCGACCGCGTTCACCACCTCTGCGCCGTTCCGACCCTTTAAGAGCCGTCTACAATGGAGAGTTGTAGGCCGTAATAGTAAGAAAGTGACCAATCACAGACAAAGTACAGAAGAATAATCGATTGTGATTTGTCAATTTCTTACTATTACGGACTACAACTCTCCATTGTAGACGGCCCTTAATAAAGTCTTGTTACAAGAAGACTATGAATATTCTTATTTAATAACCTCAACAGACACAAGTCGACACAAGAGTCATTCTGTCTTTGTTCAGTATTCAGTGAGAAACAAAGACAGAATTACTTTTGTGTCGACTTGTGTCAACTGTGTCTCCTAAAAGGAAAGCAGCCTAAAATTCCAAGTTGTGTCAAAATGTTAAATAATTAAATAATTAAATTAACAGTAAAAAATTGACAAATCACAATCGATTATTCTTTTGTACTTCGTCTGTGATTGGTCAATTTCTTACTATTACGGCCTACAACTCTCCATTGTAGACGGCTCTTTAAGGCCTGTTCTACAATACAGTCGTAAGCTGTAAGTCGTAAGAAATCGACCAATTACAGACAAATTACAGAAGAATAATTGATTGTGATTGGTTAATTTCTTACGACTTACAGCTTACGACTGTATTGTAGAACAGGCCTAAACATTTAACGGCGCGACACAATTAAATATAAAGAGCCGTCTACAATGGAGAGTTGTAGGCCGTAATAGTAAGAAATTGACCAATCACAGGCAAAGTACAGAAGAATAATCGATTGTGATTTGTCAGTTACTTACTGTTACAGTCTAAAACTCTCCATTGTAGACGACCCTTAAAACGGCAGAGACACACAAGAAAGAAGATTCTCATACGGCAACGGTCGGAACGAAACAACGAAGACAGAAATCTGAGAGATGTTCTACTGTTTTTAACGCATTTCTTTTTATAAATAAACAAAATGTTGCATGGTAACAAGTTACCAGAGAATAACTTTAGATAATGTATTTCATCTCTCATTTTTCCTCCTCACTCTTTCTTTTTCAGGTGCTTACTCTAAACAGGAATACTAACTGCACTGTGTGCACTTAACATACTGAATGCACATGTGTCTATATATGTGAAGCAGATAAACCTCACTTAACAGTGTCGACTGTCAGCCAATTTTTTTACTTCTAGATAAGTTTTTGATAACTTTATCTAGAAGATATCTCCCAAAATTGGTTCTCTTTATTGGTTCTCAGAGGAATTTATCCAGCGGATAGCTATCGAGAGGTAAGAAGAAATCGGCCGTGTGTCTCCTAAAGAGCCGTCTACAACGGAGAGTTGTAAGCCGTAACAGTAAGAAATTGACAAATCACAATCGATTATTCTTCTGTACTTTGTCTGTGATTGGTCAATTTCTTACTATTACGGCCTACAACTCTCCATTGTAGACGGCTCTTAAAGAGCAAAGTACAGAAAAATAATCGATAGTGATTTGTCAGTTTCTTACTGTTACAGTCTAAAACTCTCCATTGTAGACAACCCTTAAAAGGAAAGCAGCCTTAACTATCTGACAGCACACCAGTGTGCCCAGTTTTGACTCTCTTACAGCACGCTGCAGCAAACGGAGGGGATACGCACACAGGCAAGCAGCCGTGTACGTGTGCGCTCGACGCTTCGGCCGTCTTCGGGCGGTAGAAGAGAACAGAGATATGTCTACTGTCTC